CTTTGTACTCGGTCGCGCACGCGTGATATAAACGCGAAACCGGGACACGTGTCACACGTCCGCGGAACGCGGTAAGCGTACGAGCGCGCGCGCGTATCCCGCGGAAGAGGCCGTATCGCGACTTACGATCGCCACGGAATGACGTCGTCGCCGTGATAATATAGCGTACGCGGCAAGCCGTCGGATCTGTTGGTTCGAGACCGTTGCACGCATTGTACTCGTATTAATTATTATTGCATTAATATCGCGACGGAATCGCGGTCGCGGTCGTATGTTCGACGGCGGCTGCGGTTTCGGTAGCCGGTGATCGTGCGCATTATTATTGTTGTTAGGACGCGGATTTAAATGCTCTGTAAAACAAGACAAACGCCTCGAAAAAATACAATTCAATGCGCTTCTAACGCTCCAGAAATCGTATTAAACGTCGGGGAAAAAAAACTTTTTTTTTTTTATTAGGTACCTACACGACTTTAGTAAACACCACGTATAATGTGTAAACAGTGTAAATAGTGTACAAACACTGCAACGCGATTACAACTCGATAAATAGTTGTCGTTTCCTTTGTTGCAGCCGGCATCGTATTTATTTGGTATAATCGATAAATCTACGTAATACATTTTAAAAACGGAAATATGAATTTTTTTTTTTTTTTTATGTTTAGGAGGGAATCAAAATAAATTTTATCAAATTTTCTGAAAACACCATTATGAAATTTGTAAAAAGATAAAAAATACCTTTTAAACATAATAATGCGCTTAACTAAAATGTCAAAAAATACCCTATGAATAAAAAAAAGTTTACAAAATGGAAGTATCATATTTTATTTTTTTGATACATGAGACGAATTTTGTGCTTGAAAATCATTACTTTAGGACACTCAGACACAAATACAATTTATATTGTAATCCGCACCCTAATTAATAATACGCGTGATATAGAGCGAGATATTGTAATATTATAAAACGTATAAGAACGGTAAAAAAAAAAAATAACACACGTAAACATTTTCTATGTATACAAATAATAATAAGCGCCGCGTTAAGGGGAGAAGGCGATAGAGACATTTTCCCCGGGTCACCAGAGCTTTTGAAAACTACGAGGCGTCCAGCCCAATAAAAAACTCGAAATATAATGAAAAATATCACTTTTATTATGTTACTTGTTGTTCGATTAATTTTCAAACGTTTTGTTCAGAACGATAACAAATATTATTCGTTCATTGAGCGTGAGTACGACTTAGTTCCGTAGTACGTGTACCTAGAAAAAAAAATTCAGGAGTAAGGAAAAATCTCGTTTGATGGAAAATAAATTGTTGAAATTTCAATACGAATTTAATAAAATTGTAAAAAATCAACGAATTTTAGAGGATTAATCTTCGTCCAGGTAAAGCATTACGAAAGGGGGGGGGGCGCATACAAATTAATTCCCCTGGGTTCCACGCGACTTAACCTGAGTAACATGAATACATGATAATGTACGTGGCGCAGCATTTGGTTTATTAAGATCAACGACACTGCAGGTGCAATGGATGCAGGGCATGACGCATTAAATATTTCGTTCAACATTCGTTTTGACAACGTGTACATACTGAAGTGAAATACACGACCAAAAACAAGTCACTGATTTTTATTGCAAAAGAATAAATACGAATGTTAATGTAAAATTAATGTGTAAATAAAATTACAACTTGAACTAATGTAATTTTTAATTTATTTATTTAATTTTTTTATTTAATATTATAATGTTATATAATGTATTTTTTTTTTTAATAATACGATTAAAGCATTCGCGCTTAATATTCTGTGAATTAATGGGATTGGAAGGGGGAGGGGCAAAATAATGTCCCCACGGGTGACCCCGTACTACCCCCATGATTCGTTCGTGATTACGACGGCGTTAAACAATAATAATCGAAGTACGTGTAGGCATTTGATCAGCAAATGACATAAAATATGATAACGGATATAGGTATATTATATTATAGAATTATGCAATTCGAATAATGGAAAGTAAACGCCATGATTTATATACACTACAACAGGTTCGGTGTTTGAGAACACACTGACCCGCGATTCGATCTCTTATAACGGTGTTTGTGTTTACAGATTAATAAAAGATACTTTTTAAAAGTACTTATAGACATTTTTTATTTCTATTGGATTGATGATTTTCGATTTTTTTTTTCATTTTTCACATACAAAATCAGTACATTTAAAAATTCGGAATCCAATCAAACGTTCGATTCGGTGTAATGTGTATTACACCGAATCGTATTGATGCGCTTAAATTTAAAAACGTCTGGGAAAATAATTAAAAAATGATATAGCATTTAAAATACGCATTAGATTTCAAATACAGATACTTTTGAAAAAAAAAAAATTTTAACTACACAGGATAATTTTCGTAAATGTATTTAAAATAATAAACAATTAATTACCGAAAAAGTATTCGAATATTTGTGTTTACTACACTATTTTAATATTTTTACTCAAATACTTCACAAGTCTGTTCGCAACAACGTATTGATATGATCGCGTTATTATATTTCCGTCGGTTCTAATATTATAATACAGTATTATTTTTTACACATTGAAAATACCTTCGTCGTTGGCTACTCAACGTCTCAACACTGATCAGTGTCAGTTCGTAGTTTTTGTCAGCTCTATCGTGAAAAAAAAAAAAATAACCGATACGCGTATAATACTCGTTACGTACAGTGCCCGTCCGCCAGATTCGCAAAATAAACGTTTTCCCGAATATGATATTTTTTGCAATTTTACATAATATTTAGTTACCGATTTCTAAAGTGTACATTGTCTAGATAACCCACCATCACGAACGTTGTTCCAACGCGTTAATTAAAACGTACCCACATAAAATGTAGGTGTTTTTTTTTTTCATGTTATATCGTCGTACATATTATACCGTTTTGACTGGCCCCTCGGGAAACTTCCAGGCGGGCCAGCTTCTTATGTGTGGTCATCACTTTATAAAAAAATGTGTATTATACAAAACGAAATTAACATATACCTACACACACAAAAAAAAAAAAAAAAAAAAAAAAACTAAAAATGGGATTGTTCGAACCTGTTATTATACACATTTTCACAATTTTTGTTTTTTAGATTAAGTCGTGATAATTATAATTGTTCGACCAACCGAGTGACGATTTAATAATGTGCTAGTAAACGACGAGTAGTTTTCTTCTAACCGCTCGACTTTTTTTCTGACTCTTCGGCCACGTCGATGTTAACATCCACTTGAACAGATCTAATATTGTTCGTTTATTTATGAATATCCCAGCAACTGCTCGTGTCGCTCTAAATCGCGTCTCGATAAATCGGAGCGAGTTTTCTTTTTTAAAAGTTTAACAGAAAAAAAAAAAATAAAATAAAAACGCACGTCGTAGCAAAACCAATGGATCCCCCGCACCATTCCGAATCTGAAAGTATGACTTTTTTACTCGCGCAAAATCTGTTAATTCAACTCGACTATTCGTAACGCGTAGCTTACTGCCCCCAAATAATAAAAACGCACGGAGCGGCTGGTCCGGCGCCGTTTTCGGTCACGGGTCCTGATTGCCGGGGACTCGTTCGCCGTGCACAGTTCGACCGGCGTGTGTAAAACTTCAAATTCGACTTGGGGCCACACCGCCGCCGTGGCCGAGGACCCGACTCGCCGGGATGCGCGTGCTGTCACGGCGTCCGTAAAACGCATTTGTTATCGTTTCCGCTGACGATAAAATAACAACCCTTCACCCCTCCCCTTCCCCGTCCGCCCACTATCCGCCCATTGAAATTCGGGCGGTCCGGTTTCGGCGGCCGTCCCGCGGCTCACACGCCGGTACACGCCGCGACAGCGCTAACCCGATTACCGTACGGTTTGCCGCGCCGCGCCGGGGGACGGCAATTCGATTTGCCGGGAAATCTTATTACGGGTCCTCCCGCCGCCACATGTCCACATGTCCGGGCGCACGCGCACACCGGTGCCAATTTGTTTCCGAAATTGTACGTGCGCGCGTGTTTACGCCGCCAAATAAATTGTCGATCGTGCAGCGCGTGCAGGGGTCGCCGACTTAACGCGATTACGTGCCGCCGAACACGTGTTCGATATAACAATACACGGACGGTGTTTATTGTGGTGTTCGTTAGCCGCGCGGCGCCGACGGACGATTTGCCGGTTTTCGCTTAAAACGAAAATACGAATTGAATTCGTAAGAGAAACGCAATACGAGTGGTGGTGGTGTGTTTAAAAATCGAACGTCGACTCGATCCGGGCTCAGCAATGCGGTAACGGCATCGGCGTATATAGCGAATAAACGACGAACTAAACAAATTAGTGGACTAATCCGGAGTATCTGAAGCCGCGGGTATGCGGCATTGGCGTACGAAAGCGAAATAAAACGTAAAAATAAAAAAAAAAAAAACAGTAATATCCGTAAAACTATTAAGAATAAACGTACGAATCGATTTTCGAGTATTCCGTTTTTGGCGTAGCCGATACGAACATACGTAGTGCCGGTGAGGCGACCAGGCGGGGTGTTTCGGGTGTCCGAACAACCGCTACGTACGTTTTTGAGCTACGCAAAACGTATTAACCGTAACCTAACGTGTTTTATTTGTTTTTTTTTTTTTTTAAGAATCAAATGTGAAACCCGCTTCGAAAAAATCAGGGCAAAAATATTTTGGGGCCCTAAATGACAATTTATAACAAAAATTGCATACCTACCTAAACTTATACCATGCGTAAAATATATTTATAGTTACAACTAAAAATAACTATTTATGTTAAATAAATTGAACAAGTCATACAGTATTATATTATTTATTTTATTGATAAAAAAATATAACCTAAGGCTAAAATGTATTTAATTAAATATATATATTAATAAACTGTACAAAAAGTATGTATTTATATTTTTAATAAAGAAAATAGTCAATTAAAAGTTAAGATTATTATTACAGTCATTAACCTATTATGTTTACATAGAAAATAGAATATTATAAATTGCATACTTTTCTTGATTTCTTTTCTGCAAAGTCATCTATAATATCATCAAATGACAGATTATCCAACACATCACTTTNGTTCAAACGATCTTCATTCATTGTAGTTCGTAATCTATTTTTTATAATTTTCAATCTTGAAAATGTGCGTTCACTACTACAATTGGTGACCATAATTACTAAATACATGCGTAATGCGATTTCAACATTTGGAAAAGCTGATATTACGTCTTTTTCAATTAAAGTTTTGTACATAAAATGCTCAATACTCATTTCTGCTGGCTTGGAATAAAGTTTTATAAATTCAGAAAATGAATTATTTCAACACACAACAAGTCGTCATCGTATACAGCTACAAGTTTTTTAGCTGCTTCTTGTAATTCTTCGTTGCTAAGATTATTTAACTGTCCAAAAAATCCAAAACGCATATTACTTCCATCCATACTATCCATTTTTATGTTGGTGTTAGAAAAATTATTATTGTGCTATTATTATGTTACGTTTCCAGATTGATTTTTATCAATTACTTACCTATACCATCACAAGGATAATGTCGTGTTCATTAATGAATGCAATTGTTTTTACGGTGACCTTTAAACAATATAACGGTTGATAAAATAGCAAAAGTGAATAGACGAATAAGGATAATCGACAAAAAAAATTATAAAATTATAATTAGCATTAGCGAGACGTTTAAATAACTGAATAAAGCCATAGCCCTTCGCCAACGACCATACCACGTTGAATACACCAGTTCTCGTCCGATCACTGAAGTTTAAGCAACATCGGGCGTAGTTAGTACTTGGATGGGTGACCGCTTGGGAACACTACGTGCCGTTGGCAATTTTTTTGTTTCACGTTTTTTTTTTTTCGGTATATTATTAACTTCATTTTAATTGAATTTTTTTTTTTTTATCTTTTTAAGTTTTCTTTAATTTTAGGAACACTACGTGCCGAAAGGGGACAAAAAAAACGTCCTTCAATATTTCCGCATGTACTGACTTATATTTATACTCAAACTTACTTGTACTTGTGTTTTATACGACTTGGATAATTATTTGGGTAATTTAATTTGAGTCTGCACGCAACGATAAATAAAAAATGATTCACAACAGAATATTGTTGATTCCTGGTTACCACAGCTGACCCAATAATCAACAAAAATTATACACGGAAATTTCAAGTCATGGTCATAGCAAAACCAATACATTCCCAATCTAATTTTAATCAACAATTCCGATGCGTTAGCGTAAACTCGAAACGCGAAAAACGTTTTAAAACTATCCCAATGTTCATCGGAACGAGATACACTACACGAGTGCAATAAAATAAAGTCCCAACTGATTGTATAATTAAAATATAACGTTTTTAACACCTCCTGTACATTTTTCGGGTCCCAGTTTCAATGAACCGATCAACAAAAATTAAAATATTATAAAATCAGTTAGCGTTAGCGGGACGTTTAAATGACTTGATAAAGTCATAGCCCTTCGCCAACGACCATACCACGTTGAATACACCAGTTCTCGTCCGATCACTGAAGTTAAGCAACGTCNGCCGTTGGCAATTTTTTTGTGTTTTTCTTTTTTTTTTTTTTTTTCGGTATTAATTAACTACATTTTAATCGTATCTTTTTAAGTTTTCTTTAATTTTTTTTTTTTTTTAAATTTCTGTCCATCGAATAAATAAGAAAATCTTACTGAGTTAGCTCTGCGTTTCTTGCACCAATGTGTCCACACACATATGAACACTCATAGTCAGTATTAGAATTAAATAGTTTTTAGATTAAATACACGATAAAGTAATTTTGATGGTTCTCCATTGTAGAGAATTTCTTTAAATTTATGTAGGTTACAACGATTAAAAAATATTTATTAATTGTTAATGTTTTTAAAATGAATTAACTATATAATTTAGTTAATAGATTGATAGAAAAAAAAAAAAACAAAACAAATGACCGACACAGTGAAATGCGATATCGCTGAGTACCCGCAGCTGGAACATTCTGTCACAACAGACAACCGCGATGGGTACAACGTCATTTAACACCATCATTTATTGTATGGGTTTTTTTTTTATGTAAAATGTATAATTTCGGTATACAATTGAGTGACGGCCTCGTTCACTTTTAATAATTTCTAAATCGTTCACGCGATGGAAAAGCGTACGGATAATAACTGCAGTGTCACTTTCACGCGACGGGTATAAAAACGAAACATTTCTGTTAATCTGAACTTTTACGGGATTTCCGACGAAATTATCTACGCAGTCTGAATAACATTCACGCGCTAACACGCTGCTATCGCACGACGACATTTTCTTTGGTTTGGCCGTCGAATAGTAACAACGTTAGTAACACAACAGAAACGAAAACAAGTGTTTTCGAAACGTTCAAATTGAGTTGTTTTTTTTTTATTTTCGAATATTTTCGTGTCTCGAATCCGCCCGAGCGCGACTCGGCCCAATGGCCCCGCTCTCTAGACGATTGCGATCCGACCATCGGCGCCGTTAGAAACGGGAACCGTTTTGTTCGCGCGGCAAAACGCGAGATGAAAAACGCGGCGACGTTCGCGGGAAACATTCGTCGACTCGCGAATCGGCCGCACCGCGCTCCACGCTCTGCGCGCGCCCGGCTTCGCGTCAACGACCGTGCGCGGGCGCCAATTAAATTTCAAAATCGGAAAACCGTACGGTACCTGCGCACCGCTTCCCCCGTGGACACCGTCAATACCGTATCTGCACCTGCGTGCAGCGGGCGTCTCCGCGATCGCCATCGCAATTATCAAATAACAACGTTGTCCGTCCGCGTGCGACACGGACGCGCGGGAGTGCACGTCCGGCCCGCGGGGTATCGATTAATTATCTCGTCCCCGGCTCGCGAAATGCGGTGTATCGAATCGCGATATGAAAACGGGCGTGACAACGGGGTTGGCGGGCCGCAGGGGAGGGGCACGGGATATTATTGTCGTAATACGACCGGGACGCGACGTCATTAAATTCGGCTCGTGTGTCCGCGTGCTGGAGGAGCTTAAGAGGACTACCGCTACTGTGTGTGCGCCGCATTATACGTGTAGCGCATAATAATACGTAACTCGACGACTAGGGGGTGAAAAACGGAGAGAGAAAAAAAAAAAAAACAATCCCGGATAGGACCGGAGGACGTTATTATTACGGTACTGTATAACATTACCGTGTACGCGTCGACGCCGCCGCCGCCGCCGCCGCCCGAGAGATAATACCGTGACGAGTATATGAAATCCGCGAGGACCGGGAGGCGCGGCGGCGGTGACGTCACGGTTTGGCTTTGCCGATCGACCAGCAGAGTCGAGAGAGCGCGCGGTGTACGCTACACCCGGACGTACACACCAATCGCTAATCCCGACGCGTATATGCGGACAGCGCGCAATCTCCCGAGGGTTGTTCCGCCGCCGCTACTATATGATATTGTTATTAAACACACACGCACACACACACGCATACACACACACACACACACACACACACACATATATATATACGCGGACGGACGGCACCATTATGCACTCCCCCTCGTCATCGGCTTTTCCCGTCGTCGTATAATAGCTTTGCCGTGTACTTTTACATGTATATACGCGGGCGCAAAACAACATTATCGCGAAAACACCGGGCCGCCGTCAAAAAGCCCGACTCTTGCAAATATTATATCGGAAACGGTGACGACGCGATTGACGCGTCCCCGCGCGCCGATAAACCAGAAGCGCATCGATCCGGGCGCGCGCGGTTCTCCGCTTTACACCGCCGCCGTCGTCGGAGCTCGGTACTTATTGCACTTAAAATCCACGAAAAAACCCGATTAGATACGTCAAAAAACCACCGAGAAAATCGCTTGAAAAATATTTAAAACCTCAATAACGGTAGAAAGGTCTAAACGTTTTCCCTCTAACGGCTATAACTTGTTAAACGCGATTTTCTAACGACACGCAAATTACTGACCCAAAGTTATTTTAATTTTATTTTTTTTCATAATACAAAAAATGTTGTTTAAACAAAATAACTTTTTGTTAATCATTTGTGCCGTGTGAGACCGCGTGCTATTCTCTTTGGTCCCCGTGCGCGCAATCGCGCAACGGAGTCCTAACGATATCCGTCATGGCTATCAGCGGGCGATCCACGGTAATTCTCGACGCACGCCACTCTTGTTTTGGTGTGGATCTCCCGACAGGAGTTGCGATAAGTTCCGTGCCGGGTGCTATGATGGATCTGCCGAGGGACCGCGCGCTGAATTTCGTGATAGATCGTTGTCCTGTTCGCTTGATAGATAAGCTATCGTTGATATCTTGTCGTATAACGTAAACGAACTGGCACGGCGGCAATCAACGCACGATGCCGACGCGATCGCGCAAGCGAACCGTTCCGGTTTTCGTTTTTGCTTTCAGCTGGCGACCCAACAGTAAAAAGAGGCATCAAGTGCTTTAATGAACGTGGTTTTAGAGATTCGCTAGACCTCCGAACATTTAGGAGAGGCCGGAGTTCGGTCGTTCAATTTTCGACAAACGTTCCACGGACCGAGTGCACGGAAAACCCAAACGGTTTAATCATTGTGAGATAAATGAATTGTTTCTAGGTGATCCGGCAGTTTCCCGTCCTAGCTGTGGCGCCTTAATTTATTACGCGGTGCAGTTCTACTCCATGGCGGATAATATGCTGGCCAATCAATTTTCGGGACGATAATATTATGCATTCGTGTAATGTCGAGATTGCATAACAACGAGACAGTGTTTGATTTCAAGGAATTTCTCCCCGGGCTTGAGTCGATTGTACCAATTGTTATCGTCGCAAGCAAATTACATTCTGAAAATTATTCAATGACCTAACCTGAATATGGCGTTTCAAATGAAATTAAACAAAAGATCCAAAAAGTATACAACAATGACTTTGGTAATTTTAATTTTTACTGTAACACATTTCGATTTTCGAATATATGCGCTCGTGTAATTTAGACAACAACAAAAAAAAAACGAAATTAAAGAAAAAAAAAACGCCAAAAATAGACTTAGGTTTTTCTTCCTTGGGTTCAAAGATTTTAGATTGGCGCATTAATACATGGGTTTGTTGACGTGGGTAATTAAAAGATGTGTTTACAATATTTTAGACGGTGTATACGTATATGAAAAAAAAACACAATACATTGTGTTCGGGTCGACGAATCGAAATCATCGCAAGAAAGAAAAATAACGAAAATACCATATCCAGTTGAAGGACATCAGCATCGTACATTGTGTACAACATAATATTACTACACAGTATATTAATAGATAAACAATATAGTCTTTAGAATTCGGCCTTAGCTAAAAGGTCTAGGACCTTCGACGGTTCGCTATTTGCTACATATCGTGTCAATGTTAGAGTGTACGACTCGTTAAAAATAAATTAAAATATTCTGAGATTAAAGATCTTGTACGTAGAGAATTTACAAACGAAATTCGTCGTATGCCAAAATGATAAACATACAGTTTGTGGACGAAAACGACTGTAATAATGTACAGACTTGTATACGTGTTTTTATAATATTATTTTATACGTATATGTATAAAAAAATAAAACAAAATAACACCGTTGATTGGTGTTACACTGTTTTTAGGAGAGACGTAGGAAAGGAAAATATAATACGGAGTAATTTTATTTTTATCTGTGTCCAAACATAAACCACAGCTAATGGAAAACGGTTATGAGCAGAGTATCGTTATTTGTTATAGTTTTCCTTCGTTACCAGAGTAACCAGGATATCAACAAAACGTTTACGAAAAATTGCCAATTTTCACATTATAACCTAGTTACTAGTTACTAGTAGATACATAATATAGTTACGATTGTCGATATTAATTGTGTAAGTATTAAATTTAAATTAATACTTGCCAATGTTAAAAAATAGGAATCCAAATATAATAGTAGTATTTAAAGAATATTAAAAATTTCTTGTCGACCGTTTAAAAAATTATTGAGTTTCGTTCAAAATTAATCATAAAATGTGTACCAACTAGATCAAAAAATGCCACAGGAGGTTCCTATAAAATACTCAATTAGAAGAATATTTCACTTAGTAAAGTTGGTAACACACAGGAATACATCATATAAAACCAGTACGTTCCCGACGTCACTCAGAATCTAAAACAGAGTAGTTTAATTCCTATACGAAACATCTATACCGTGAAATTATTTTTATAGTATTAATTATTGTATTTAAGATTCTGAGTGTAGCGAAGATGCTGTTATAGTTTTACTATTAGACGTGATTTTAACAAAAAAATATCACTTTTTTCTTTGTTTTTTTTTTTCTTGGAAACATTTTTTTGGCTAGTAAAAACACTCGAAATTTTCGAGAATTTAGTTTTCCAGATCCCTGAAAGTTTTGTTTAAAAATTAAAAACTAGAAAAACTGAACACAAATAACGGTATGTCGATATCATTTTTCATTGATTTCTGACTCAATGTTATACTCCGGTTAGAATGGTTAAACCACGACTAATACTTTGGCCGATTTACTGAGCTTCGTTCAGATTCGTTATTTCAATGGTTTATCATTCCTTTCAGTACATAAACTAAATTACCCTATATTATTACCTAATTACCCAAGATACTATACTTTCCACTAAACAACAATGGCGCAACATGGCATGAAGTACGTCGGTTTTTTTTTTTGTTCACACAAATAATTATCGTCCGCTTCGAAATATTCCATCAGTACAATGACCGCAGTCTTTTATATTCTGAGTGAAGTGAGAAATGTATAGGTTTTACAATGATATTTGTTTATTTTTTTAAAAGGAAATCTAACCACGAGGTACTTTAGAAATGTCGTTTATTGATTTTCCGAAAGTTTTCCCAATTATTTTGGAGAACCTGGGGAAAAAAACATGGGATAACCGGAAAAACGGGAAAATAGGCACAATATTTAGCAAATATTATTAAAGAAAATTCATAATGTTTAATGTAATTATTTTATTATAATATGACATATATATATATATTGTTACAAAGATACACTGGTTAATTGTTGCATACAGATATACATTAAATTTCACCTCTACTACCTTCCCAAATTCTGACCTATAACAGTAGCTGCACCCGTTCCCGTTATCCTAGGACAGCTTATTTTTTTTTTTTTTTTAAAGACACTTAACATATTTAAATATATACGTAATTTTCAAGCCATATATTTATGTACGCAACGAGACATGATGCACAAAGGTATACCACGCACTAAGGTGAAACGTATTAAATCATGGCTTATAATATTATAAAATAACAGTGAATAATAATTTACGATGGAACCTTTATTAAAATTCCGTCGATTTAAATATTGCAATAATTCGTTTTCAGCGATGTATTTCAGGTATTTACGCGTCGTTTGAAACGGGGAATTTTTATTTTTTTTTTCAAATTATCGGATATCAGTATTTTAAATCAAATTAAAAACTAAACATAATATATACGGTAACTCGCAGGGATACAGTGTCTACAGACATTTTTATTGTTATAATTTTTTTATAAGCATCAAAACGTCAAGGAAAATAAAATATTTATCGACGAAAGAACCGTAAAAACAATATAATTACCAATAAAAACGTCGACGTCGTCGTATGTATTCGTATAATGTATTATGTATTTTATATAATTAAATGGTTTTCTTCTCTTTTTATGTATCGTTATTCCGATCACACACATTTTAAATTTTATTTTATTTTTTTTGTCTTTGTTTTATCACTGGATCACCATATCCGACCGTAAAACCATACGTGTTAGTCTCTGTTATTATATATACAGAGTGTCCTACGGAGTTCGGACAAGTGCAATAATTTGTGTTCTGTAGCAAGATATATGGTAGAAAAGTTGCGCACAGATAAAAAAAAATAATAATAAACATCTTTGTAAAACCATAAGCTCAACCCGGAATCTAAAATGTATTTGCTACAGAATCCAAGATCAAGCCGTTTTGTAAATTTATTTTGAAACACATCGTTGGCGTTACAAATGTTTACTAATAAAGAGCCGTTAATTTTCTACGGTTTTTCGAAATTTATAATCTTAAACTCGTTTCACACGGTTCCAGTTATTGTGCTATCTCTAATGTGATAACTAGTATACAAGATTTTAGGTTTGTATGAATAGTGTGATAGTATACTGATTAAAGAAACCACGCTAACCAGTATTATTATACGAGTTTTGATAATAGAACATTCCTACTTTCCACACTATAGTTACTATCAGAAATAATTTGGAACCATAATCAGAATACAGCAATTTTATCGATATGTATTACAATGTTATCACAACTGTATCAAACAATATTTTAAAAGAAACTAAATTAAGCACTATTGCACCTAAGCTCTTATGTAATTAATTAGGTAACGAAATTTAATAAAGTCACTAAAAAATGGCCCTTACTCAACCTTGGTCCATTTTTTTACCCATACATTTCTTTTTTTTTTTTTTTTAAAAAAACGTGTTAATTAAAATTATATTGTGCCCGATAATGTTAGCAGCAATAGCAAAAAGCTATTTGTCGAGAATCCGTGCCAATACGAATACTATACAAGAAAATACAAAACTAAATAAATAAAACTACTACGCTAAAATACTATACTACTACAGTATACAGTAAACAATATTCAATACAGCATAAAAAATAGATTATATAATTATATAATAGTATACAGAATCCCAGGGGGATGAAAAAAAACTGCAAAGCTTCGAGAAGAAAATATTAAAGGAAATATACGAACCGGTGTACAATGGTGATTTGAAAAGATTCGAAAGAGAAACAAACGAAAACCTGCGGCAGCTGTTTAATAAGCCGAGTCTACGGCACTTCTTAGTGAGAAAGAGGTTGAAATGGGCAGGTCACGTCTGGCGAGCCAAGGGAACGATAATAATTAAAAAGGTCACGGAAAGCAAGATAATGGGAAAATACCAAGAAGCAGACCTCGGCAGAGATAGAATGATACAATAGAAAAATATACCTAAAAAAGTTCAATCCATTGTTATATATGTGAGCGGCATTGAATAGAGGTGGATAGGCATTCTAGAGTCGGTGATGGACTTGAATGGACCGCTTTAAGCCTAGGTACAAGAAGAAGATAAAGAATATCTTTTTTTATCATCATTCTTATCATTGCTGCTGGTTTCTTGTACTTTTTATAGTGTACATGCGTCATTATGGTATAGTGCAGGTTCTAGTACACTAGATTACACGAAATACTTCAAATTAGTTAGTATGTTAGAGAGAGCACAATAGTACCATCGTGTAAATAGTGCTTTAGATTTTGTAAAAACAGTTACATTTTTAGATTCTGAGTGGATCGAAAAATGTATCGGTTTTACAAAGATGTTCATGTTTTTTTATGTAAACATTTTTTCTACCAGAAAGCATACTCCGATTATCAAGTATAGCATATTTCCGAAATGAAATTTTCTCTGGGTAGTACTTTACAGAGATCATTTTTAGAAATTCTCATTAATTTGCGAGATAATGAGGAAAAACTCGGTATTTAGGTTAAAAAGACTGAAAGATTAAAAGTAAGGTTGACATTGACAACCGTTTTTATTTATTTTTTGTTGTTATTAAGTTTTAATTATTTTAATCATTTTTAAACAATCATTGTTGTCACGGAAACGCACATTGCTGTAATTATTTTACCATAATATTTATGACATAATACCATATATTGTATTGTTGACAAAGCCACATTATCAACTGAACTCGGCTCAGAATCGTTTTTTCGTTAGCAATGGTTTATCGTTAAATTCCCGTCTGTATCCTACCTTCCCAACTTTGCGTCTACACCAGTGGCTGAACCCATCCCCATTATCTTACCTTTCTTTTATATTTTCAATTTAAAAAATCTTTAGAAAAATTTTGAGTCATACTAGAGCGCAAGGCTCTAGTAATTGTTGCGGTAAAAAGAAAAACCGTAAAAATATCGAATAGAATAAAAGAACAATTATTGTATTCGTCTGATCTTCGTGGGACACTCTGTATACTGTTATGACGGTTGTGGCGGCGGCGGCTTTGTAACGATTAGGCCGTTTTCTTATATTATATTGTCGCTCTTTGGTATTTATTACTTATTGATACTTTTTTGTAAAAGATCGTGTGTATAAAACGACGTATCCCTGGCACGACGATAAAAGACTACTAAAAACGTGTAATGGAAAAAGCACCGGGAATATAAAATACAAAAAAAAAAAAACAGTTACTGCAGTGACGGTTGTTTACCATTCAGCCCACGCGATTCGTTTAAACGTTTTTATATTTTATGTATTCCGGTAACATATTAAATATATACGATCTAATCTTCTTATACGGTTTCGGTTAAATGTGGTCTTAAAAAACAATCGGTTCGGTCACATTTTCCTAAAAAGCGAATATATATGGAGTCACTGGCGTATAATATATAGCCGAGAGATCGCTTTTTTTTTCTTGCTAAAAGATTTTTTGACGTCGCGGTTTGCGCGCTGACAAACGATGACCGTGACCTTGACGCGTGTATTTTTATTATACCGCGGTAGATTTATGGACACAAAAAAAAAAAAAAAAAAAAAAACCGACATTACTGCCAATGGGTGTGCCACTGTTTTTGGAGCGAAGTTGAAGGAGTGAGGATAATACGGCGGGTAATTTAATATGCATCTGTATTGTACGACAGACCGTAGTTAACGAAAAACGATTCTGAGCAAAGGGTATCATCGGTCGATTTTTGTCCCATGTTGTCGAAATAACCCGGAAATCAACAAAAATTGGTATACGAAATATCGCCAGTTTTTCCGATATTATTTAGAAAATGAGAAAATCGAAAAATTACCTAACCAATGCGACGACTAGATTGAAACTGCTACGGGAAAGTTTTTATCAGAACAAAATTGTCGGTTAAAAAAACCGTACTACGTGAATCCAATACATGAATAAATTATGCGATATGCAATAATATACAACAGTCGGTCATAAAAAATCCCCCCCCGATAAATTTTTTATCAAGAGTCCGCAAAACGTTATTAGGCGCAAAACAAACAGATGTCTCGGGCCGTTTCGCGGCAACCGACTGCAATCACCTCGCCGCGGACAAAGGTGCCGAAACGGCACATCTGTTTGTTTTTATTATGCGATCGAAACGCGCCATTTGGAGCCGACGATACTAAAACTATTATTTTATTTTTGTACGTTTTAATCGTATGAAATATCATAGTGACGTCGCACCGCCGCGGCCTTTATAATATAGTCGCCATACGCGAGCTGATGACGATTCGATTATTCGAAAACTCCAAAAAAAAAAATAAATGTATTAATAAATAATATAAACGTCAATCAACCCCACGCGGAAATATTGTAACGATATTAAATCGTGCGAGTTTTGAAATCGTGGCAAAATAATATTTTAGCCGTGGACATTTGTTTTTGTAGACCGGGAGAGAGTTTAACCAAAACAAAATAATACGGCCAATCATAATATCCTACACCTATCGTTTTCTAGACGTGCAAATATTATGCGGATTGGTATTCAAAATATTCTGGATTTTACGAGTAAACAACCCATATTGCTATTTGAAACGTCCACTACTCTTTTTTGAGATATTAGATTCTGGAGTCAAGTCAAGTATGATATTGTGTTTTCTTTTGCATTTAGCTTTTTTACCGGTCCGGAAATCCGTTCAACAATGTTATTGGAACTTTCATGTAGCGTAATATTTGATCTAGTTTGAGGTAGTTTTTCATTTTTCCTAGTAATTTTCATAATGAAACCGACAAGAAAAAGGACCGATATACTTCGTACGTGGGCGCAGCCACTTTTGTAGGTGGGATGTTGGAAAGGTAGAATACGGACGGAAATTTAATGTTTATCTGTGAGCAACGATAAACCATTGCTAGCGAAACAACAATTCTGAGTAGAGTTCAGTTGACAGTGTTATAGCGAAATTAGCGAAATTTGAATACTAAAAAAAAGGTCGTTCTACCATCATGTTTACCCTCCGCCCCCCCCCTTCCAGTAAAATCTCTCATGAATACCGTAGTCATACTAAAGTGTTTTCCCGTATGTTATTTATAGTGTTCATTGCGTTACAAAAATACGTATTTTTTTTCAGTTTTTCAATATTTTTGAATTTTCTACGGGCGGCGGTACCTATAAAACGGAAAAAAAAACCATTGCATGTTTTTCAGACTACACGGAACGGATAAAAGTACAAAATATCCCGGCATAATCGACTCATCTAGTATGTTGTTTTCGTAAAACTAACACGCGATAATAATATTTTTATTCGGAATCAAAACAGTTTTATTATTATTATTATTTTCTCTTCGGCGACATAACATTAGACACCGGCGTGTGGACGTCAGCGGCGTATTTAGGATTTTGTCAAATGGGCAGTTATTGAGTTTGGAAATCGTGTACCCGGGCTAAAAAAAAAAAAAATATCAATTAATCATTTTTACATTATCGTAGCGTAATTTATAATTTATTATGCATTTTCGGCAGATTATTATTAAACTATTATCGAAATAATTAAGTAGGTAATTATTATTATTAAACCGTTTCGGTACATTAAAACGATTCGTACATAACAGGTTTCATTTTAAACAAGAAAAAACGTATACGTCCGGTGGGTGGACGGGTTTTTTTTTTTTTGTATTGATATATAATATGAACTGTATAATAATATAGGTACCGACACGTTGAAATATTCGATTTTTCCGACTGAGAGGGAAAAGCGATTAGAATTTAAAAACAGTTAGTCCCACAAACAATAAATATGCCGAACAAAAATTCGAAAGTCGGAGGTATACGGCCTGCTGCAATGACGCAGTCCTAAAAAAAATTCTCGAGCGTACTCGAGTATATTTCTCACCTCCACCCAAACTTTTTTCTAGATTCGAAAGTCTAAATTCATATCGTTAATTCCTACAATCTTAACAGCATGCCGTTATATGTCACGGGTTTAAGCAATACAATTAAGTGCCTAATATTATATTACGTACAGTTAGGTAACGTTTCCTATAGTTAATGAAATACATATCGCTTGCATTAAGGCTTTCGTGTCGAACTCACGTTACGGATTATGGGCATAGGCCATCAAACAGTCGACGAAGGCAGGTACGGTATTGTTCTCCCGCGAGACAGAGTGTAGCATATTTCGGCATATCCACAGACATAATATATTATATTATGTCTATGCTTCGGCCGTTATCATTTGTTCGTCAATAAATCGAACGATAAGAAAAAACTAATAATCATTGGCGGCGCGAACTTATTATTTCAATGACGCAGTAAAATTGTTCAACGCCCCATCCTCTTTTATACGTAAACGTAAGATAAAAAAAAAAAAAAAAAAAAACGCTTACCAAATCAGAGATCGGCATGTTAACTTATTTGATTTTAGTTGATCCGAGTGGAAGTCCGAAGAAGCTTATTGTTTTTACAAAGATGGTTATTTTTTCTTCTTCTAATATTTACTTTAAAAAAAAAAAATAATAATAATTTCACGTATCAACTAGACACAGTTATAATATTGTTTGATAATATCCGGTTGGACTATCGGGTCGTTGTTACGACTCACCTGCTGTTATCACCGTAATACGAAAAAATATTGTGTTTCGAAAAAAGAAATGCACGTTTTATAAATATAATACCTATAGCGGACGGTGAGCTGAATGTCCGGAAACAATTGGACACTTGTTCCTAATGACTTTCGGCCGTTCTATAATTAAACGTTTCTGTTCGCAAATGACGTACGGGGCGCCGTCGGCGCGTGAAAAATGTCTTATGGAAAAATGTCGAAAATAACGATATTGACGCGCGATCGAAGCACGCGCCTGTGCGTATACCTGCGTGTCACACGGTACACGACAACGACGACCGAACATGCGCATCGACCGAAAAATCGAGAAGTTGTTATGCCCGACATACATCCGCGAATATTGCGTATTTTGTTTCTCGATAAACTCTATTCTTTAGGGTT